TATCTCTTTATATACACCAGCCCATGGTTAAAGATGATTTGGAACACTTGTGGGAAACCATTTCCTAAAGAAACCCCAGCCCAAAAGTTGGATTTTGAGAGAACTAGGCAGAAAGATGAAGCTTTCTTATGCTGCTTGCAACACCTCCTTTGAGAACTGCACCATGAAATTGTGCTTTTTCTGCAAAATCAGACATTGCACGTGGCTGGAAGAGCATGGCCAGTAGGGTCATGCGTGATGACACCATCCTGCTCATTTTCAAGACAACATACTGACAGTAGCCCTCTCATGAGAGGCTGGGAGGTTTTGGAGCTGTCGTAGTTTTGGTGAGGCTTGGCTGGAGGATGCTTCAGCAGCATGTGCATGTTATTGGACTCCCGGGTTTATGGGTTGATATCTGGGTGGGACTGGTCTGTTAGATGTTTTGGGATGGAAGCATTTCTACATCCTTGTCTCACTGGGATAGTGGCTGTTGGGCACCTGCTGAGGGTAAACTGGCGCGGACCCCTTGTTTGGTGTTGGTGGGAGGGTTGAGCTGACAAGGCAAGTTGCCAGGCTTGTAAGCAGAGTCACTCTGCACAGTCCTGGTGTGTCCTGACCTGGCCAGACCGATTGCATTTCCAGCATCCTTTCCCACAGGGAGCCTTGCCCTCCTGCCTTTCACCTAGCATGCTGTAGGCTTGCAGAACATTTCCATTTCCTCCCGCGAGCCTCATTTTGCTTTCTCTAGTTTTGCTTTGAGTTGGCTCCATAGTTTCTCATTCTCTCTCTTCTTGCCTTTGGCAGGATCTGCTGCTTGAAGAGGGAACCAGCCAGGTGGGACTTGCCCTGGGGATCCTCCCACTGCTGACCTCACTGAAGGTCTTGCTATGAAGATAGTCCTCTCTGGAAAGGATTTGATGGCCATTGCCTGTCCCTAGGGAACATGGGAATTGCTGTTAGTGGATGACAAGATTTATCATTGATAATGCAGAAGAAGACATACTTCTTCCGCATTGCTTGCAGTGCTTGCAGAAGAAGACAGGGGTGCAGAAAGCTGAGGCAGAATGGTGGCCTGTGAGGACAAGGACACCCAATCCACCCTCTGTTTCAAGGAAAGGAAAAAAAGAGGATCTATGGCTCTATAATTCCATGATGAGGATTCTATGATTCTATGACCTGGGAAGTTATGAATGAGCCAACCGGCCACTAGTACCTAGAGAACCACTGGAAAAAAATAAGACGACACCAAATCAGTGAATACAGAGAGGCAGTGTTGGGGCTGAGAACTCAGATTTAGTAGGAAAAAATAGTGTCAAACCAACCTAATTTCTTTTTCTCGAGTCTCTCTTCAGTTCTAGAGTAACTGTCTGGGTAATGCAGGGAAACTAGGAGCGATACTATCTTCATGCAGCCTTACATGACATTCTCATAAACAAATTAGAAAATGGAAAATTCTCACGGTGTGGGGGGAACGGCTACCTATTGAACTATATCCCAGGAACAGTTGCCAATGGCTTGCAGGCAGATACCTCACGTTGAATTTTTCTGGGAAAAGGAAATGCATAGCTCAAATGAAGGCAAAAAGCAATTCAGGAAGGGTATGGGACCTTCTGGGAAAAGGGCATAAATCACCCCAATGAGCTGCAGAAAGCAGTAGTAGAAATATACCCCTTTCCCCGAAGAAATTCCAGAAAGACAAGCACAAAACCTTCACACTAGTGAAAAAATGCATGGAGTCAAACCAGGATATCATTGGCACTGGCCAGGCTCCAAAATGCCATAGCAATGGGACACGGAGAAGTGCTGTGTGCGCAGTGTTGGTGTCACCCACGGCCCAAGGTTCTGGCTGTAGCATCGGCCTTCCCTGTCCCTAGGCAGTCCCTGGCGGAGCTGTGTCTCTGTCAGGGACCCCAACAGGGTCCTTTTCAGCAATGTGGGAACTTCAGCTCCGGTGTCTAAGCTTGAAACCTTCCTCATAGTGCCCGACCGGCTCACCCAGGGGTGTGGGTTAAAGTCACAAATAATTTTAGGGGATGTGAAAGTGGCAGGGAAATTACAACCCGGGCTGCACTGCATCTTCGCCTCCTTCAAGCGTCACTCCACACTCGGAGGAGGAGTCACTGCCGAGCTACCGGGATGGAGGGGATCAGCGGGGTCCATCCTAGCACCAGGACAGGGACAAGGTTTGTCGCTGGTCCCCACGGAGGCCAAGCCGCATTGGCAGTCACCGGAGCGCTTTTCTTCCCAAGGCGAGCGCTGCAAGCGGCGAGGCTGGCGCTGCGATGACAGGAGTGTGCGGAGTGGAACAGGACGTCAGAGCCCTTTCGTCTCTGTGGGCGGTTCTGGGAAAGTCCCTTCGGTGACGGCAAATCAAAGGCTTTGACAGAGGGAGCAGCGTCGGCTCCTTCTCAGAGACGACTCCAAGGAGTCAGCGCAGCCCGAGTCATGATTTCAGTCGTGTTCCCGTGACGTTGCAGGGCGCTGATTTCCACAGCAGCAGAACCTTGGTGGCAGAGCTCAGCTCTGTGCCAAGGAAAGGAAGGGAAGGGAAACCTTTTGATCTTCCTTGATCCAGCCCCTCCAGTGTAAAACTCGTCCAGCAGAACATGGGGGACCTAGGAGAAGGGCAGATGCCATAGTGCAAGTGGCTCCATCCCAGTCACCCTGTGCTTAGTGGCTCTCCTGCCCTGGACCCTGAGGCGTAGCAGGCAGAGGACGCTAACTATGAAGATAACCTGGCAGCACCGAGGAGTCTATTTCCCACTCCTCCAGGAGCAAATACCAAAGGTTCCCTGTCAACCTGCAGTATTTATCTCTGCTCCCAGGGTCTGTAGGGCATCAGATGTGGCTGGTGCTGTTTGACACCTCCTTGCCACTCCTGCTGCCAGCTGCCGTGAGCCATTGTTCCCCTCTCTGGAGGTGCCAGGCACTGTGGCACTGTGTGCATCCTCATCTCCCCCTTCCCCTAGACACAACATCCGCAGGTGACATCCCTCGCTGGTGCTGGTTTTATTTGAGCTCAAATACATAGGTCAGAGCCAACTCTGAATTTATGGAGTGTTCTTTATTAACTGAAGCCCTTGAGCATAATGCCTGAACCAGCTGCAGCATGGGGGCCACCTCTGTTCTCACTTGCAGCCACATAAAAGTCAGGCTGAGCTTTCACTGGTGGGTGGACAGTTTTGGTCCTTTCCTTTCCTTTTTTTTTTTTTTTTACTGCTTCAGGGTCTGAAATGCATCTGCCCGCCTTGAAATTCTTGGCTGTCTCTGACCCGCCTCTGTCCTTAACAACTTCAGGCTATAGTCATGCCATTAAATGATACTCAACCAAGATCCGTCTAACTCCTCAACATCACAGACATTGGCACCCACTGCCCATAGCTATTCCCTGGCACTGTTTAATTCACTCAACACTGGTGGCCTCAGCAGGTCTCACTTCCCCCAGCAACGGCTGCCGTAGGCCAGCTCTACGGCAGGGCCAAGTTCTGGCACGTCTGCTTGGGGTCATCTGGACTTTTGGCCTATGGGACAAGCTTTAATGGCTGCCATAGGGATATTCTGCATTTAAGTCAATGTGAAATGCCTTTGGTCTAATTCTCAGATCCTTCTGCCCTATTTAAACAGATGTCTGTTATACTGCAAGATTTATTATCCTACAGTCTTTAAATTAAATCCTTCTGGCTTCTGGTGGCAGGTGCCACCAAGTCAGAACACAGAGTGATCTGGCAGGATTCATACCTGCTCTGTGGACAGAATGGCCTCCTCCAAAAGTGTCAGCGTGGATGAACCAGTTTGCTTTCCATTGTGGGTCCACTGTCACGCAATAGTCGCTAAAAGCTCATGGCCAGTAGCAATTTTATAGGGTTACAACCTCATATTTATAAGCAAACAAGGTGGTACATTGGTATTACACACACCCCGATAGCCAATCCAGCCTCGTCCAAGGCTTGCATAACTTGAGATATCCAATCACAGAAAAGGTCAGCTTTAACTTGTTCTTGTGTCTAGGCAGCAAGCCGGCATCCGGCTTCAGCTGGGTTCAGTTGGTTCTTGTTTTTGCCAATTGGTAACTTTTTCCCTTTTGCCCTTTCCCCTACATTCCATGGCAAGCTGAGGTTTCTTGATCAGACCCCACATCTTCCCCTAATCTCTCTCTCAAAACCAGCTAGCATCTGATCTCTTTCCCAACCTGCTTTGCTCGCCATGGGATGTCTGGGGGGATCTGGACATCCAGGATCCTGCAGAAGCAACAGTGGGGAGGTCAGATGTTGCCCAGCAGAGACAGATGAGGTCCAAACGAGCTGGCTGCAAGCAGCCCACAGTGGCTCCGCAAGCTCTCGCCACTGGCCCACGCTGGCTTCACGTTGCTGCTGTGCGCTCCACCCGTTTCAGTTCTGCGTGCGGTGCCGGCCTCCTCGACTTTCCACTGCGCGGTTTCACATCAGGCCTCTTCTGCCTGGGTTCGCTGAAAACTCTTGCAAACAGCCCCTGTTCAGTGGCAGCTCTCAAGAGCAATAAGGCCACCTCGGGTTTATCTGCTGAGTCTTGCGTTTTTAGAGTGTTTCCCTTCCATTATTCTGTGTGGGGCACGGTCTCCGCACATTTTGCCCTGTTGCCATGATATCGGTGGTCACAGCCAGCCACAGCAGTTTGGCATCATGACAACCTGACTGCATTGGGGCTGGGATGTCCTCCCATGCCCATATGTCATGTGCAGAAATATGTGGGGCTTGGGAAGACCTTGCCTTTGCTTTGGGGAACATTCTGTCGGTCCAGCACCTCATGCTGTGTCAGCAGAGCCTGTCGGTGCAGGAATCAGGACCGGACACCACTGCATACGGGGGAGCAAAGGTTACCTTTCACAACCACAGCTTGACTTTGAGCCCATGAGGGAACAAAAGTCCAGGAAAACAAAGTTACTTACATGTAGAAGCACCTGGAAGCTGCATGCTTGACCTTGGTCTAGGATCCTTTGGTGCACCCTCATCCCTGCCACTGCTCCAGCTTCAGGAGAGACCATGGAGAACTGGCAGAACATCTTTATGGAGAAGCTGAGGAAAAAGCATATAACAGAGCCATGGAAACTTCTGGAGGACAATACCATCCAGGTAAACACCCTCAAGCCTGGCTGGACAGAGCACATGCAGCGCTCTGCATTTGGGAGGTAAGAGACTGGCAGGGGGCTGGCTGACCTGGCTGGTGAGTCCGTTCCCCTTCAGCACGGGCTTAGCAGCAGAGAGGCTGCCTTTGCCTTTCTTGGAGTTATTTTATAGGAAAAGGAAGGGGCAGTCTGGAGGCGGGGGAGGACAGGGGGGGAATTCCCTCCTTTCTTTGTTCCAAATTTGGAGGGTTTTTTTCCAAACTGAAGAAAAACATGGTAATTGGAGGGCAGGAGCACGAGGTGTCTCCAATAGCCTGAAACACAGCTGGCATTTGGCCAGAGCTTCTTCTTGTTCATTCTGAGATGCAACTGGTTCCTCCAGCAGGCAAAAGGACCAAACCCCCATAGATGGCCAATTAATGGATTTCTGCTCCCTGTCTCAGCCAGTTTTGTGCATGGCTGATTTGGGAAGGAAGACAGACTCCTGATTTCCCCTGAAGTGTCATGGGGAGCTGTCTTGCCCTGAGGATTTGTGCCTCCTAGGGTTCTCCATGCACACTGCTCCTCTCACCTCCAAAAGGTCAGGCACAGGAGGGCGATGCCAGCCATGGAGAAAGGGCTGCAGAGTGTGTACACAGCCCTTCCTCCATGGCACCCTGCAGTCACTTGAGGGAGGATGGGAGGTGCAGAGAAAGGCAGAGGTTGTGCTGGGAAGGGATGTGAAGGGTTGTTAAGGGAAGATGGATGGCAGGAGATGAGGAGATGGGCAGGACACTCAAACTGCTGGGACACAGGGCAGGCAGGGATGCTGAGCAGTTTCTGCACCTGCACCTTGGCCTTAGGATCCTGGAGGGGAGAGTGGTAAAACTCAGTGATGTTGATGCAAAAACCTACCCAAGCAATACCCACCCTGGGCAGAAGAGCCGGCAGTGAGCAGACAGCAGGAGACAGCAGCGGCTGCTGTGCACACTCTGAAAGAGAAGCTATGGGTTACATCCCTTTCAACACCCGGAGACATCTTCTCACCTGCCTGCAGCCTCCACCCACACCTTCCTTCTATTTTTCTTCTTTTCTAATTTCCATGGGCCTCAGGCTTCAGGCTCACTTTCTGCTGAGCTGGGCAGTGCAGGCACAGGTAAGGAACTGCAGGCACAGCCCCAAGTGGGGCTGGTTGCTGATGCTTCCCTCCTCAAGGGCCCCTGTTCCTGGCACCAGGGCCCAGACAGACTAGGAAAAGGGGATAAGCTGGTCCAATCAGGCAACCTTGGTCCTAAAATCTTTAATGCTGGGGCCAGCCCTAATCTCACATATATGTTGAGCTGCCCAGGCATATGTTATGCTGACAGGGGTAGGACAAACTGTTGGTCAACTGCAAAGTTGCATGTGTGAAATTAATCCATGAGCCCTGATCCCTACTGATTGCACTGGAGGCCACTGGCTCAGCACAAGGAGCCAAAGATGAGTTTCTTGTCCTGTCCTGTCAGGTTTCGGTGCTCCAGGTGCTGTCACAGCTGGTCATCAGCCAAGGTGCACATCCTGTTCCACATGGGCCGGAGCCAGAGCTCAGGAAAGGTGCGGATGAGAATCTTCCGTCAGGCATGCAGAGAGTGCCCTGACGGCCCGCTGGAAGAGCCCAACTTCAGCCAGGAGAACTTGGCTAGAATCCTGGAAAATCTGGTGCTAGTGATGCTCCGGGAGTGCTACCATGTGCCAGTGCAGGCCTCGGACTTCACTGAAGTCACTGTGGAAGCGCTAGTGACTGGGCCGCACGACAGCACGCGCTGCGAGGCCTGCCGGCTCGGGGTTTGCCGAAAGCCAAGGCCAGCGAGGGCTGCCTCGACGCATGTGGAAAAGGCCAGCAGCCACCACACCCGCAGAGAGCAGGGCTTGAGGCAGCAAGTAAACCCAACACGCAGCGTCCCTTCCTTCAGCAACACCTCCCGCCGGAAGCGTTACTGTTGCATTGGGGTCTGCTTGCTCTGTGTTTTGGCAGTGCTCCTCTTTCTTATGGTTTATTTCATCATCAATTAGAGCCCTTTGGAGCTTGAAAAGAGAAACCCAGGGTGATGAGTATAGGCTTGGGATGCTGATGGCTTGGACAAGTGCTTCTCCACGGACAGCTGCCCTTTGTCTTGGTCTGCACAGCACTGCAAGGGAAGGCTGGTGGATCTGATAATTTGCTATGGGACTTACACAGCATGAAGACATCCTTCAGCACCCTGAAGTGAAGGGCAGGCTCACAAGAATAAAATAAGCCCCTCGTTCTCAGCTGAAGAATGAATCTGTGTTTTTTACTTTCTCCAAGCACTTCCGCGGGTATGTGTGAAAGGCTTGTCTGGAAGCTTGCGGCCATCATGATGGACCAGTTGAACTAGACTTAGCATTCAAGGCAGAGACATCGTATTGCTGCATATTTGCTCTCTCCTGTCTTTGGTCTGGATGAAATTTGGCTCTCAAACCAGCTGAAGGGCACCTAGAGCTGGAGGCTTGCTACAGATCCACAGGGATCAGGTGCCCATGGACGGTGGTGCTGCCTCCCTAGAGTTGTGTACAGATGCCCCTGCCCCAACCTTGAATGCTGACAGGTATATGCTGTGTGCCTGGAGACTTCATTGGCCTTCAGTAATGCCACGGGACCTCTGGCAGGTTGAAAAACACTCTGGCAAACACAAAGGCCACCAACCTGACCCTCCCGGTGCAGCCAGGCTGTGGCAGCTCTCTGGGGCTTTGCTTCCTCTCTGTGCTGCCTTTGGGAGTTGCTCCACCTCCCCGAGGGACTGGCGCTGTGACCATGTTGCAGCCTGGCCCCAGCTCTCATCCCAGGCAGGCACATTTCCAAGCCACGTTTCCTTCTGGGGGTGCAAACCAATCACTCTGTGAAAGGAAATTTCCTCCTAAGGCTGTTTATCTTGGTGTTATACTGCACAATTGTGCAAAGGTGAACTAAAGCTAAAACAAAGCCAGGCAGTAGTCATTTGACTGCTTGGCAATTGCTCTCATTTCCATAAAATATGAAAATCAGATCAGGCGGGGACAAGTCCAACGAGTCCTGAGGCCCTACCCTGTCAGGTCAATAAAAAGGCTTTTGCAAGTCATGGCAAAATTGTATTTATGGGGCTACAGGGCCCGAGCAAAAGGGAGGCTGCTGATTCCTAAATGCTGCTATTCTCTCTGCGAAGCTCAGGGAAGATGCCATGGGGATGGAAGGAAATCTCCTGCCCCTCCAGCAGCCTGATGCTGCCCAACGTGGCGTGGAGCTGCTCAACCTGGACTCCTCGGTTCCTGGAGCAGAGCTGGTGGACTCCTGCACAATGTCCCCATGAGGATGCCATGTCCCATGGGTACCTCCTTGGCCCAGAAAACCTTGAGTTAATTGTCCTGTTCTGTTGGACATGTCTGTGCATCTTTGCTATCCCTGTCTGTAAAACAGGGATTGCAGGGGGGCACTCGACTCCTGCAACGCTGGAGTCCAAGAGTTAGAGCTTGCCATATAACCAGGGCTGGTGTCCTGCTTGTGGCAAGGCACCAAGACTATTGCTTTTGCTTTTCTGGGATAATGCCACTGGGAATGTTTTGCCAAGGGGAGAAAAAGCAGGTCAGACTTTTAATGCCAGCCAGCATCTCTCTGCTGGGTGATGAAGAGCCCAGGACTGAGCAGAGGCATCCTGACTTCCTAATCTCTGACTTTGCAAATGATTTGATGCTAAAACTGGATGTGGTAGTAAAGAGACGTGATTTTGGGAATGAATTAACTGAAGAAAGATGAGTGGATGGAAAAAAGTTAGCCAAATCAGGATGCTCGATGTAACTTCTACAGAGGCAATCTGTGACTTAGGCAAGCCATGTGCTCTCTTGTCTACCTCTGTGTCAGGGTCATTTATTACTTACTTGGCATTTGCTTTTATCCCCACCTTGCTGGTGTCAGAATCTCCTATATTTTTGTATGTAAAAAGCTGAAAGCTGAGAGCTTTAAAAAAAAAAAAAAAAAGAACAGAAAAGCCTGTATGGTGCATGGGCCCTGTGGATTTTGCTGCCTTAGTGCCCCATCCTGCTCATCCCATCAGCTCTCCTCCCTCCCGAGAGCCGTCGCTCCTCCGGTGTGAATCCAGCAGATGGAGCTGCGAGATCTCTGGACTCCAGCGCCGCACTGGGACCAGTGACCAGCCAGCACTGGGATGTACCAGCCCTCCCCGTGTTGGCAGAGTCCTGACCTCATCCCCGCGCACACATGGCTCCCAGGATCATTGCACCCCTTAGCCAGATCCTCTGGGGAGATTTTTCCTGAAGGGACTGAGAATGCCAAACCTAGATTCAGAGACTTTATGACCCAAATAATACCCCCAAAATAGAATCATAGAATGCCTAAAGTTGGAAGGGACCTCTAGAGATCATCTAGTCCAACCCCCTGCACACGCAGGGTCACCTAGAGCACGTGGAACAGGACTGCATCCAAGCGGGTTTTGAAGATCTCCAGAGAAGGAGACTCCACAACCCCTCTTGGCAGCCTGTTCCAGTGCTCTGTCACCCTCACTGTTAAGAAAATTTTCCTTAAGTTCCTGTGGAACTTTTGACGCTTCAGTTTCCGGCCGTTTCTTCTAGGTATTACTTGAGCGACTCCCAGCCTTCAGGAACAGAGTGCAGACTCCATAAACAGCTGAAAGGCATCTAGATCTCCATGGGAATGACTGAAAAGAGGCTGGAGATCGTGCGCTCCATCCTGTGCCTGGGCAGGATGTCTCCTGCTCTCCGCCAGCGTTATTTGCCAAAGGTAGAGATAGGGCCAAAGTTCTTGCTACTGTTGCCTGCAGCCCTCTTCTTTCCATGCTGAGGTTTTCCCAGTCCTACTCATCATTTCTGGCAGCCTGCAGCCTCCCAAGCCACCCAGCAGCTGAGGGGAACTCCCTCTTTCTCTGGTGGAGACCTCATCCCTGCAGGGATCCTTGTTTTCTTGCCTGGCTCTATCTGCTCTTTCCACAGAGAACAGCCACCTCGCAGCCTGCCTGATGCCTTCCCCAGCCACCCTGAGCTCTCCCACCTACGTCCTCGCTTGCAGACACTGCTTTTCCCCAGGTCTCCTCTCCAATGTCTGCCTCCTGCATTCCGTATGTTGGGGAGATCTTCTGCTCTTTGCTCCTCTCCCCATTGCTCAGTGACACTCCTGCATGTGTGGCTGCCTCAGCTCCTTCCATCTCAACCTACTCTGATGTTCAGTTTTGCTGGTTTTGCAAGTGTTTCGAGCAGACTCTTGGTGCTTTTGGAGCCCGGAGCGAGACCCCACAGCTCAGTCCCATGCTCAGGGCTGCTGAGGCTTGTGGCTGGGATGCCTGGCAAGTGCAGCAGCTCAGCCCCAAGGGTCCTGGGCAGGCTGAGGCTGCCGCCGAGTCTCCGCTCACGCCTGGCGCTAACACCTGGATAGGGATAGGCAGACCTTATCCGGGGGGTGTTTCACTGTGCTTTTGCTGAGGTCAGACTCATATATTGCTGTCTCCATGCTTGTGTTGAAAAGTGGCTCTCACTGTGCTGGCAGGCTGCAAGGTGCCAGCAAATGCAAGCTCTGCTTTTGCTCTCCTGTTTCTCATCTGCTGCCCATTCCTGGCTCTCCCTGCAAGGAGCAGCAGTGACCGCATAGGTGCATGAGGAAGGGCCTTGGTAGCCCGTCTGGTTGGAGAGCAGGGAATGGGGGCTGCCTCCATTAGGGATTTCACTGCAGAGCTAGTGAAGGGAGGAAAGTATTTATGAGCTATCCCTTCTGGGGCTGCAACATTTTGTAACATGCCTGGGAGGTGTCTAGGCCCAGATCCTACAGCTGATGGTTTAATACCCAAGGGACATGTTTTGCTTTTGCTTTTGCTTTCTCCTCCCCTTATCCTTCTGAAGTCTTTCGGCCTGCAAGGAATGAGCCAGGCTGTGTGCCCTCCACCCTGCTGCCTGCTGGGAGCCCAGAGGAATCCAGTGGAGATCAGTGGAGTTATTTCAGATCTGTGCCCTAGGAAAATGGGGCTCAGGAACCCAGCCTCAAGCCTTGGGTCCTGGTAAATGGAAACAAATAGTTCCCATGATTTTAAACTCTCTCCAAGTACTTCATTCTCACAGCCTGTGATGTGGAGAAGAGATTGCCAGCAGAGCTGTGTCCCTGCTTCAACCTCCGTCTGTGTTTGCCAGTGGAAGCAAAGCTAATTTGCTATCATTAGTGAAGTAGCTGCTCTGCAGCAAAGACGCCTCAGGCCACCCTCCGTGCTCTGACAGCTCTGCCCTTCTCGGCAAGCCCCGGGCTGCTGCTTGGTCACTGCTGGCCACCATTCCTCACCCCGGCTCAGGCAGGGGTGAAGAGCACGGGACACCTGCGTTATGAGGTTAGAAATGGCACAAAGTTTGACTTCATGACACAGCGCATGTCATCGGCCACGGCTCTGTGGAGCTCTATGGAGCTTGGCACAGGCATTGCTGCAGCGGCTCCCTGCAAGGCAGGCTGCACACCAGCCAGCAACAGGGTTGAGCTTGAGTCCTCCCTGCCTTGCTGGCACCCTGGGCTCTGGTGGCTGCAGCGAGCCCGCAGTGTCCCAGTGCAACTGCTGTGTGAGACTGGCACAGGGTTTGAAATGGCAATTTGCTTGGCCCATGAAAACTGGAGATGGAGAAGAGCCAACAGACTGTCTCCAGCAGAACTTAGCCCTGGAAAGAAGCGAGTCTGGAGCTCAGATCCATGCTGTCATCTTTGTGGAACAGGAAGTTTGATGGAGGAGGGTGATGGGGTCATGGGCCTGCTCTGGATAGCTGCTGGCAGCAAGAAACCAGGTCACCTGCAGCCTTTTACCAAAAAGTGCCATTACCCATGGCAGGATTTATGGAGCAGCTGGCATGACACACTGTGCTCTGGCACCAGACCCTGCCTTCCCCAAAGCCTCTTTTTTCTTACCCATTTGAATCAATAGTTCTAACAAAAGCTACGTGCCCAGTTAAACTTTGCACTGCCTTGTTCCTGATGAAAAGCTGACCTGCTTCTCCTCTGGACTCTTCTGAACCCAGCGGTGTCGGTGCTTTCACGTCACAGCTGGGCAGGGTGGCTGAGCAGAGTGATAGTATTTGCCCAGGGTTCAGTCACAGCGCATTGACTCTTCAGTGAAATTTCTCTGCTCACCAGTCCTGCAGGGCTCTTCTGGGGAAGGGCTGCCCAGACCTGAGGTGTGGGAGCCGGTCATTTTGGCTCTGAGTGCCTGTGGTGCTTCTCAAATGACCATCTCTCCTTAATTTTCAGCCTCCTATAGGGAATCATCCCACCGCTGTGATACCCTGCCAAGGCCATGCTCGGTACCAGGCAGTACATTGCCTCGCTGTGCTGCCAGATGCAGAAACGTGTCTCACCATCGTGAGGGTATTGGGGAGTTTGGCACCGCTGTAACTGGGCAAGGAAGGATGGCACTAAGCCGTGTGAGACCAGAATTACATAGACCAGCTCTCCGGAAAAGCTCCTTTTAGACAAGACTTGCTCCATTGCCACTGCTGCCTTCCTTGACAGAGCTACAACGAAACATGACAATCCCTGCAGTGTGTGCAGGGGGCTAAACCCTCTCAAAGAGGGGGCTGAGTTCTCCATGAGGTAAATGCACAGGTGGCACTGAACTGTGTTAATGTTTTGTTCACTCTCCTCCAATTTAGTGAGAAGAGAAGGTTTTTGGGAATGCACAGGTCTGTTCATGGAGGTCAAGACTCTGGCTGGAAGTGGGTCTCCCTTCTCCCATGTTTTCTGTGCTCTGCTGTCTGGCCTCTGTAGCCATCCTGGGAAGACCGTGTAAGACATAGACCTGAGCTCAGCACAGACCACAAACAGAGAGGAGGCTCACACAGAGCAAATGCCACAGGGAAGGGGCAGGAGTTCAAGACAGACACTTGTGACCAGCCTTTGCCCTACACCCCTAAATACCTCCTGTGTAGGTTGAAAGCATCAGGACACAAAATCATAACATACCAAAGTTTTATTTTATCCTCAGGAGGAAGGTTACGCAGAACCACTCCTATATGATATCAGATACTTTACAGAATGTAGTATCAAAAATGAAAACAAACAACAAAAAATAAAAAAACAAACAAAAAATGGAGTTACACAGCATAGCCATGAGTACAGTTCTTAGCATGTCTTTAAGTTAGACCTGTTCCTTCATCCTTCTGTTTCTCTACATTCTCTGCAAATGGCTTTTTGACTGTCAGGCTAAATAGCAGAGTAACTCATTCACTCTTGATTCCTTTTGTGCATGGCAAAGCTGTAGGAAGAGGAGGACAGGTCCGAAGGAGACTAAATGGATGTAGGAAGCAGAGCAGACACATTCTTTTATGTTGCTGACAGCTATAGAAGGCATTTACTGGCAAGTGGAGATGTCCCTGCTGAAGGAAACAGTGCTCACCTGACCTTGTTCCTTGGCAGGGCTTACTTCTCTTATAGAGTAAGGTGGGGAAGATATGAATCCTTCCACAATCTTGGCCAAAGTGGACTGAGTCTAGGGCTGGAGTGACTCAAACATGCATAATCCACCAAAAGAGACATGACTGAACTCTGGACATCATCAGTAACCTGCAAACTTGCCAGCTCAATGGTCTTAAAAAAAAAAACAGAAGGAACTTGGTTCCTGTGACAATGGATGAATTACCGTGCAAGACTGCCCAGGACCTCTAGAAGAGGCTAAATATCAAGGAATGGCTGCAGATGGCTTGACTTCATTCCTATAGCTCTCTGTGGCAATAGGTCCATTTGCTCTGAAATGCTTCTGCTGTGAATAAATGTTTGTTATGTACATGTTTCCAGGCATGCCAGATGTGATGCTGTCTTGTGTATTGGAAATCTTTCCTTACAAGGTCTACTGTGGCTGGAAACCACCCTTAGATCTGGTCTGAAGGGAGGACTGGAGAGCACTTGTGGTAATGGCAATGATGAGTAAGGAAGGGAGGCAAGAAGGTGGTGGCTGGTTATGAGGATGAAACTGAGGTCAATCTCTGCTTCCCATCCTTTGTGGTGTGCCCACCCCCACATGGTGGCTAGAGTTGTCCACTGGGTTGGTGCTGTCTTGGCAGCATGATGGCATGATATCTGCTTGCAGCCATGACTGAAGGTTAGGACTAATACAGAAACATCCTTATGTTCCCAGGGCTAGGTAGAATGTCACTTGGGATGCCATCAGGCAGGGACATTAGTTTGCAGATAAAAACAGTGTCAATCCCCCAGTGCTGTCTTACTGCTCCTCACATGAAAATGCTGTCATGAAATGTAGGGGACTGTGAGGCCCAGGCCTGCCCAGCTGGGTTTTCCACATTGTCCTCAGCCCCTGTTGTTCCTGGAGTTACATTGTCTGATGGGAAGAGCTAGTGTGAGAGTTTAGGGTGTGGGGAAATACTCTGTGCACAGACAAGGCTTAGGTGGCAGAAAAATGCCTCCTCCATCACTGTGCCTTTGTCATGGCTTGGAGGGAGCCTCCCTGGGAGTGTGGGTACGCTTTGGAGCTCAGCAGTATGAGCTAAGGAAACTGGCTAAAATCTAGCCCTTTGCTGCCCTTCCCCAGCTCCCTAGCAAACATTTCCAAAGAGCACAAGCAAAGGGATGTAGGACCAAGCGAAACACATGATGTGGAGGGCTGGCAAGGCCTGGAGTGTGGCTGAGCATCATGGCTACTGCTTGCGAAAGACCAGAATCTGGAGCATATTATAAAACAAAAAAAAAATAAAGCAGCAGCAGCAGCAGCAGCAAGCTGCTTAGTCACTCATCTCTCCAGCTCAGGGTCCAGAAATGTCCACCTCTCAGGGGAGCCTGTTTTCTTCTCCACCCAGTCCACATAGTTGGAGACTTTGGTGTAGACACCATACACTTGCTTGCTGCCACACTCTTCTGGACCACCCCATGAAACCAGCCCTTGGGCTACCCACCTCCGGGTCCCTGGGTCCTGAATGACGAAGGCTCCCCCGCTGTCTCCCAAGCAAGTGTCCTTCCCACCTTCGTAGTATCCAGCGCAGAACATGTTCTCGGTCACGCTGTAGTTCCCCGACCGGGACTCATAGCTGGTCTTGCACTCTGCGTGGAGCACCACTGGGAGTTTGACATATTGCAGGATATCGGACAGTGTCCTCATGCCTGAGCTGATAATCTCGTCCACGGTGATGTTGGGATTGGAGATACCCCAGCCAGCCACCAGCCCCAGTGTGTTGGGGTGAGGCCCCTCCAGCTCATGCTCAAACTGAGGCAGGCAGACAGGCATGACGTATTTCCCCATTGTCACTTTCTCCTTCAGCTTGACCAGAGCGATATCGTGGTTGTAATTCTGGATGTCAAACTCCTCATGGAGGATGATCCTCTCTACTGTCCGGTTGACAGCATCCATCTTGTTCCTCACATCATGGAGGGCAAGATAGACGGTGACATGCTCCTTGGAGACGGGGATAACGGTCTTGTCACGCCGCTGTGAGCGGAGCACGTGGGCGGCTGTTAGAACCCACGAGTCTGAGAGTAGGGCCCCGCTGCCAAACCATTTGTCATTGGGCACCCGGGACATGTCCTCCACTACAATCAGGGCCTGCCAGGGGAAGAAGCCAGGCTCTGCATTTCGCCCGCCAATGATGCGCTTGATGATCCCAGGTAGAGCACGAGCTGGCCGGCCACACACTGGGAACAAAAGGGACAAGACAGTTACTCTCTGCTGAGCAAGGAAACTGCTGAGAAGGGACATCCCTGTAGATTATACCACATGGGTGGTCGTCTTCATAACCAAATGCTCATTTGTGTCTTTTCTCTCCATAGAGAACAACTCTCCTCCTTTTCCTGGTGAATAAAGTCATCCTCACCTCTTTTGGCAGAGCGCATTTAAGGTCTTGAACAGGCTGAGCACTGCACCCCATCAACTATGCCAACAGGTCTGTGGAGGTATGTCAGGGAAGGGAACATGTCTGTCCTTCTGCAGGGTTTTGCTTCCTACAGGCAGCCACCACCTGCCTTTGTGTCTCCCTTGCCTGGCAGGACCATTTTGGAGAGGGACAGTCTACTGGTCCTCCATTAGGGTAAGGGGGTGACACCTGTAGACCCTGTGCAACCATCACTAAAGCTACTCAAGCAAAAAGAGGCAAGTCTGAAGCCTGCATGGCTTGTCCAGTTATTTCTGTGAACTATGAGCCTCCCTGTATTGCCGTGAACCTGATGGCTCAGGTGTGAGACTAGGCATTACTGCCTCTGCCACCAACCTGACATCAGACATGCCTCATCATTCTGTTAGGATGAGCTATTTTTGCAAGACTTTTGGAGCATGGAGCCTATTTGTTGGCTAATAGACCAAGAACAGCAGGGACATACTCTACAAGCATATCAAGCATATGATACCAAGGTTATCCCATGTTTTCTGTGGTTGTGGACAATGAGGCATAAAGTAAGGAAGTATCTTATCTATGGGTCAGTGACAGGCCAGGACTAGTGTCTAGAACCGGTTCCTTTCTAGTATTTGGACTTCCCTCTCCCACATGCCCATGCAAGCCCTATTTGTGACATCTGCTTCTAAATAGCAGCCTGGAAGACAGAAGTGAAGACGTCAGGTGACTGGCTAGGAGGTGCCATTAAGCCTATGGCATAATATATCTGCTCTCATGAATGCATGTTGCTCAACACCATCCATCACTGAACCTTTGGAGCTTGCAGTATCTTCATGATGGGGCAGAGGGCCTGAACTCTCCCTGTATCTCCCCAGGGTGTGCATACCCCGAGATATGGCTGGAAGGTTCCCATGGCTATGGCAACCTGGACAAAATAGGCCATTCTTCATCTCACAATGAGATAGGATCAAAAGCAAAATGAGCCACTAGTCACCCATGCCAGAGCATGGAAGGTGGTATCTTTGGGGCCGTGAGCTCCCTGTGGCTGCTCTCAGGGCTCTGCAGAAGTCCATCGGTTGTTCACTTGGCACTTTGTTTTTTGGAGTGATTTGTCTGGATCTGCATCACTTCAGAAACAGAAAGGCAAAGTGAGGAATCCTGCAAGCCCGTACTCCCGCGTGAACTCACTCAGACCTTTGCTCAGAAGCCCGGCCCCTGCTTTCTGTGTGCCAAGAACCGTAGGGGAATGCTGGTGGGAGGGCTGGAGACTTGCGTCAGCCCAGCCCGGGCTCTCCCCTGGCTCTGGGGCCTGTCACGAGGACCCTGCGTCAGGGCTGCGGGCCAGCCTTGCAAGCAGCGCGGGAGCTCACACGGACTAGCTGTGCCTGGGATGCGCTGCTAGGAGAGCTGTAACGCCCACAGTGGGCATGGGAGCGTGCCTCTCAGTGCAGTTAGCTCCCGGCCTTTCCCAGTGCTGTAAGGAGTAGGAACCACGCTTAGGCAAATAATTCCTGCGTCCCAGCCCAGCCCAGCTGCTCTGCTGTACCAAGCTGACAACCATCCCACCAAGATGATTTTAGAGGAAGCACATCCAGCCAAATATTTATTCTATTAAATTACATATCAAAAACACTGACCAGGCTGCAAATGCTCCCACTAATGGCATAGGCAGACGCAGAGTGGCCTGGAAGGGGAGTTTCTCCTGATAGGGAGGTAGCATGAGACATGAGGCGATCTGAAGAGCAGCTGGCCAGCTGCTGCCTGCAGATCCCAATCTCAGGAGAACGTCATCCTCTCTCTGGGATTTTCCATTTTCCTGAAGTCTCTCTGACTTCTGTCACTAATCAGGAGGTCTGGAAACAGCCCATGAAAGCAGCCATGGCCCTAAAAGATGTCCCCATATGCTCCCAGCTCAAATTATTTCAGGCTGAAACATTAAGGACAGATGCAGGGAGCAGCCACTGCAACAAGAGCCCGGTTTCTGAGCTCCATAGGCACTAGGGCATCTCTTGGGATCCTTCCCTTGGCCTTTGGATCACTTAGCACAGCTGGACACCCTGCAACACCAAGTCCTGAGTGCCTGGATATGCAGGGTGCTGCAGATGCTGTGCAGTGGCTGAGCCCCTGCTCCTCTCCGGAGCGGCATCGCGGCACATCAGACCTCAGCGTGTGTAACCCACACACAGAGCTGCTGCCAGCTCCCCACCCCGTCTGGCAGCCAGACCGGCCCCACGCTCAGCCAGGGCCAGCCAATGTCCTCGGGACTTTTGTTTGATCCCAAATGGGCGCCTGGCCTGGAAACTTGCTGGCTGCAAACATTTCTGCCACTGCTCAAAGACTTGAGTCTTCTCCCCTGTGAACTGAGTTTTTCTGCAAGGCTTGGAGAGGTGCTAATTACTGGTGCATGTGGACACACTGCTAATGGGAGCTGACAGGTAATGATGCTCTACCCTTGGCTGCAGGGCATATGCCACCTCTGGTGGCACCAGGGCTGACGGTGGCCAGTGTGCTCTGCTCCGGGTGATGGGGGATCAGCTGGGGGATCAGGCATCCCTGCTGCCTGAGCCCTTATCCCACACTACCACAGCAATGACTTCGTCATGATCCTCAGAGACACCCCCTGCACCCCGACCATCTGCAGCCAGCACCCAGCAAGCCTGGATAGCAGGAGGCCTATGTCCCCATCACTCTCTTGGCCATACATTGCAATCAGAGGCAGCGAATGTATAGCCCATTGCATATGGTACTGCCGTACCATATGGATCCCAGAGCAGGATTCTTATCTAGGGAAGCAGCAGACCATGTCAGACATAGGAACAGCCCTGTCTGTGCACATCTCCCCTCTGCACCCCTCCCTGTGGGACCCGACACCCTCCTCTCACCCCAGCCCCTGGTACCTGGTTGGCAGGACGGCAGCTTGGTCCCCAGCTCCTCGCTCCTCCACACCCCGAAAGCATCACACGTGTAGGTGGCTGGAAGAGAGCAAAGTGTTAGCTGGGCTCTGCCATGGCTCAGGGAGGTTCTTATGCAGCAAGCAGATCCTGCCCAGACATCAGGACCCTCTGAACTTTTCAAGAGCAGGATGTGACTTCCCTGTAATGTCCTATGTGCTCCTTTCTTTGCGGGGTTCTGGCAGTCCTGTCCCTGTGGGCAGGGAGCGGTATGCAACCACAGTTGGTGTCACTGCCCTGTGTCCTCTGGAGGACTGTGCTCTGCGTTCAGCCTCTCCTGGGAGCTGCTGTCCCATTCATGCTACCAGTGCCCGTTGTGCTAATGAGTGCCGGATGCTTGGGACCAGATGCACAGGGCCAGTGAGTCTGCAAGGGGATATGAGCAGGGACGCTGGAATGGGAGGAAATCCTCTGGCTTTACTTGCTGAGGGAGGAGGAAGGAGCACTGGAGTATGCACTTGGGCTCCATGCAGCCACTCCTGTTGCCAGAGCAGAGTCCAAAGGGTGCAGTGACCCTGGGGCTTTACAAAACACCTTGTGATGTTTCTGTGGTTGTGAACTGGGCGGGACACATGAAAACTCAGCCTGCTGTGCATACTCACACATGGATGTGTGCCCACCCTCCCTGTGCCAGGGGTGCACAGCCCTGCTCCTCTGCTCACCAGTGCTGTTGGGTGCCATGTGGTAATAAGGGTGCTGGCAGTGGTACTGGATGCTGGCCCCGTAGGTGGTGAGGTTGTTCCTGGAGGAGAAGGTGACAAAGCCATGCTCCAGCTCCGGTGGTGCTTTACAGTCGGCAACTGAAAGTCAACACAGAAGGGAGGCTGTTTCTCAGGACAGGGAGCGCTGGGCTTTAGCACATAGCAGTGGTCCTGCGGGAGGCCCAGGTAGCCCTGCATCCCCCATCTAAGGAGCTGCAGGGAGTGCAGCTTGGCACCTTCCCTCCTTCTGCAGTTTAGTCAGTCTCAGCTGGCAGCTGTGGACAGGCCAGCTTGCCTGCAAGTAATGAATCGACCATCTAACCCTCTGCTCCTCTAATGTCTGCGCTATCTGGGCTGCCTCTGTACCCAGGGAGTCCCCACAGCGCACTCCGCGCATTGCCTGGAAAGGCTTGGGGCTCACTGAGGAGCAGCTGCTCCTTCTCCACCTCTGCAGCCTCTCGAGGGGTTGGGAGTCACCGCTGGCCTGCTGCAGAGGAGCAGAGCCGTGCAGGAGGACATGGACAGCCTCGCACTATGACTTTGCTTAATTGAAGGGTTTGCCTCTCCTGTGTCTCCTAGGCAGCAAGTTCAGCCTCCCTTCCGGTCTCTGGGAAGGTGGTGGAGGAAAGCCCAGCCCTGCTGAAGTCCAGAGATACATTTCTGAGCTCCAGCCTTCTTCTCTTTGCTCCCTCCCCTGCCTTCCTCCCCACTGCATTACACCTGGCCAGGGTTCTCTGTCCTTGCTGTCTGTCCCCCCATCCGCAGGCAGGGCAGCACCTCCCTCGCTGCCTGGCCTCCTGGAACCCATCACTGCCCTCCTGTAGAGGTGTGGAATGGATGCAGCACCGCCGAGCACCAGCAGCATCCCACAGACTGCATCTGACACTGTTCATGCTGGAGCTCCTCCTGAGCCCTGCATTTAGTATGAGATCTCTCTGCTATACCTTTCAGAGGGGAAGAAACTACAGACGCAGGTTAGATCATTGGCAGGATGTTCTGGGAATCTGGGAGGTCTTTGCATCACCTACTAATGGTCAGGAAAAAGCACGCAGGAGATGAAGGAGAGTGTGCGGCTTGGCTTGTTACAGAAGCAGGAGGGGGAATGAGTAGACCTGGGGAAGATCCTGTGTGCTCCATCCCAAGGATGTGGGCAGGTTTGGCTCTGCTTCACCCACCTCTGTTTTAGGCTCAGGGCCTGGTGGAGGCAGAAGGATTTCTAGGTGCTTTTGCCTATCCCATGTCCTGTCCATGGTGCCCTTCTTCCCCCAGATCCTTCACAGGGCTCTCCCCAGCCTCTCCCCCAACACTGTCCTCTCAGTCAGGCTTGTGCCACCCACCCTGAGAAGGATCCCCCATGAACAAGATTGTTCTTCTGCCACAATCAGGAGTCACCTCGTGGGAGGCCCTGGGAGCTGCTGACTGCCTATGGTGTGCACGATAGGCAATGTGTGCTCGCATGACACCATGCAGTGTCTCCCATCCTAAGGACCTGCTCCTTTTAAGATGAGGGATTGAATAGGGGATGGGTGGGGGGGGTCTTTTCAGGGAGCAGATTCTGTGGACCAGGGATGGTGTAGACTCTGGGGGCATCTTCTATGTACAAGAGGCTCAGGAGGTTCTTAAACAGGACAGAGAGCTGAGGGCAGGAGTCCTAACTCCTCACTCAGTGATCCAGGTTGACCAAAAGAGAATTATCTAGAAGCAGCTGCCAGTACCATGGACATTTAGTCACCTGCCTAGAGGAGAAAACCCTGGTTTATGGCAGAATGCTGCAATCCATGGTTCACCAGGGTCCCCCCCATGTCCTGCCTGGTGGGCTGGGACAGCAGGCAATGGGAGACGGGTGTGTGGGTGCAGTGCAGCTGGGAGAAGGCTTGGGGTGCCTGGGCCTTGCAGAGAGGCAGGGGCTGGGAATGCAGACCCTCCTCTCACCAGGGCCCCTTGTCCCCATCTGGCTTGAGTTTTCCTGCACTCTTCCTGTGGTACTTGGGAGCGTGGTAGTTTGGACTGTGGTACCAGCAACCACAGGAGTTATAAGATGCTGAGGTGTGCCAGGGCGTGCAGGAAGGAGAGGATTGATTTTTGGAGACCACTGCAGCTTGCAAGTCTGCTCTGGGACTGTTTATGGCTGCAGGAGGTAGGTTCACTTATGCGCTTGGCTTGCTCCCTCCCTGTGTGTCCCGCAGGTCTGGGGAAGGCCTGAAGCCTGGAGAATGGTCACTTGCATGGACATATTGCCCTGTTATGTCCTGGGACTTGCCCAGAAAGACAGGGAAGCAAGCTTGAGCTTTCAGGCCATTCCAGACTTTTGCCTTGGGAAAGCGGGTGTTTCGTGCCAAGTTCCCCAGGGTACATCTACGCCTCCTCTTCCATTTGCCAGGCCACATCCCAGGTCCCTCCCAATGAGGCCCCCGATGGACCCCAGAGTGCGAGCCCTGAGCCCTGGGACACGCATGAGGTCAGACTTGTGTCTTTGATCTTCTCCGGCTGTGAGTGGCCTGATGCCAGCTCACACTTCCCGCTGCCAGGCCAGCAGCAGGGAGCAAAGAGGGAGCTGGGGAGAGCAACCTCCCGTGCCCTGTTACTCGGTGCCCTGCAGGCAAAGGCACGCAGCCTCTCATGCCAACCCATCCTCTGAGCCTCTCTTGCACGGGGAAGGTCTGTGAGGCGCGAGGACGCTTGGAGCGAGGAGAGGAGTGTTTCTTATTTGTGATGCTGGGCCAGGGAGGAAGGGCAGCAGGAGGCTAAATCCAAACAAACAAACAAACAGGCGGCCGTGCGCAGGGCGGCTTGGCCTTGCGCAACGCAGTCTTTGAGGGGAGGCAGAGCTGGGCCACAGTGTCCGAGTGGAGCAGGAGGGATGTGGAGGATGTGGCTGGGGTTCCTGGGAGCACCTGGGCTCCCAGTGGCACCGTTCTTGCAGGACAGAGAGAAAGGGGGCTCAACTTCAAATTTCCTTCCCCCCTCTGGAGACGGAGCTGGAGTTAAGGAAGCACCAGGCGTGGAGGGGTTAAGAGTGCCATGCCAGTTAGAGAAGTTGCAGAGGTGGATTTGGCAGCCGGGCCTGAGACAAAGGGAACCTGCCCTGGATCCCGGACAGATCGGAGAGGGAAACCGAGACAGGCTGCGGATCTGCAACTGTCTAGGGGGCCGCCACTTGCTCCGAGCTGGCTCTTCTCTCTGTCTGGTTGTCGGCTCTATCTGCAGCTGCGCCGAAGGTAGAAGGGAAGGAGGAGAGCAGAGAAAGAGAGAAAGCCAAATTAGTAGATGAGCAGAGAGAGGCATGCAGGAAACCCAACCCCCAAAACACCAGAAATCGGTAATGAGCAACCCTATGGCCCCAGCAATGCAGCTGCAACAGGCCCCGAGCTGTGGTGCATCGGTACCAGGAACCTCTCCAGTTCCTCCACCACGGCAACCTGTGCAGTGGCTGTGACAAACCATCAGGAGGTTGTTTTTTTCTCTCACTGAAGTGTAGAGCTGGATTTTATCCAGCTTGGCAGAAAACTTAACTATTTCTTTTTTTTTCATTTCTTTCCAAACCATTTTTGCTCATGCTTTGCCTCTTGCAGATGTTCAGGGGAGGTGGGAGACGCTACAGCTTGAAGGACTGAATTGCCCTGTTAGGGGCTTTTTAGCTTTCCAAAAAAGTCCTGGAATTTCAGTGTTGTGATTCATATCATACGAGAAAGGAGCAGTTCCAGCCCTCCTGGAATAATGTAGGCAAACATTTCAATTTTCTTTAAAAAATAATGTTTTTTGGGGTTAATACTATTTACTCGGATTTTTATGCTTCTTTTTTTTTTTCCTAGAAATGGTAATTTTTAACTGATCTCTGCTCAAGCAGAGAGCTGGACAAAATCCATGGGAGACTTCTGTAGTGAGAGCGGTATGACTGGGGAGTTCCCTTTGCAGGGCAGAGAAATCCCTAACCCCATACTTTGCAAGGAGCCCTTTCAGATATGAAGTTATATAGCAAGTCTAAGAACCTCTTGCTTTCCATTTTGAGTGAGTAAACATGAATTAAACCTCCTAATTAACTCTCCTAAGGTGGAATCCTCAACATCACTAAAATATAAAGAATCTGCCCAGATGGGAAGAGCCTGGATCCCACAGGCTTTGAGTGCGTCTAATCCTGCCTCTCTCTGAAGATCTTGCATTTCTCTTCTCTGAATCAGCGTTACAGTAGAATGTGAAAATAGAAGTGAGTGCCTCCCCAAGGCTGAAGGATAGCAGCATGTGTTTGGGGAAAAGAAAGAAGTGTTACTAGGTATGTGAAAAGCACATCTCCCAAACCCAAGCCAAGAGAGGAACTAGGTTAGATGAATGAAGTGATGATGCAAATTCTTTCAAAAGGAGTCTCATTCCTTCTGCCCCTTTTTCTCATTCTGAGTTTTGTAAAAATCTGGGCAATTTTTCTCAACCCTTTCATTTAGCACTTGGTTTGAGCCAGGACCTGGGACCTCTCCAATGCCCTTGATCACACTGGGCCCATTTGGAAG